TATGGGACTTGAGAACCGAGCCAAGGCAAGGATAAAATGGTCTTTGACTTTTGTGATTTACTCCTTTGAGTTTCTTAAATTACTAAGAGGAATCTCTTTTATGCTACAAATTGTAGCTTGAAGCAAGGCTAAGGAATCTTGAGGGCAAAGAATTGGGACGTTCTGCTGGCTCAGCTAAAGGCAAGCCTAAGATAGAGGCCTATGACAAGGATCGAAAGAAGGCAACTGGAGGACTAATAACCGCTGCAAAGGTATGCACGTTACATTTTGTATGTGATTTGAAGATTCTGCCGATCTTTTCTGATTCTTATAATTCTTGCTACTTTGCAGACTTATAATCCTGCAGCAGATTCTACTCTTGCACAAACAGCAGTGCAAAAGGAGAAGGCTGAGGCAGAACCTCCTCAGACCATGGAAATAGAGGTTCCTGTTACAGGTGAAGAAAAGAAAGAGAAGAAGAAAAAGAAGAAGAATGCTGTTAAAGAGACTGATGGAAATGAACCAGAAAGTGAAGAGCCAACGACAGAAAAGAAGAGTAAGAAGGAAAAGAAGGAAAAGAAACATCTTGCTGAAAATGTCGACACACTAGAAAATGGAGAGAAAAAGAAGAAGCGAAAGCATGAGGAGCAAGATGAAGAAACTAACATGCATGACAAGAAGAAAGAGAAAAAGAAGAAGAAGAAAAGTCAGTAATGAGAAAATATATGGAAGAATTCAATCACTTTCTGTGGAACAATTTTGGATACGTTAGAAGTCAGGTCTTCAACATGTAAAATGTGGCTAGTGTGACCTCTTTACTAATCATGTTTTTTTTTTTTCTTATTATGAACTGTATTGCAACAAGACCATGTGGGGGCATTTTCCATTTCTTTTTATTTAAATTTATTTCCGGAATTGATTTATCAACTGCTGGTAATGGATGACAATGAGTATCCTTAGCCTTTGCTTCAAAGTGTCATTCATAGCTCCATTTTTCCAAATCTTGAATTGCAGGTGAATTTGTTTATTCTTTGGGGACAAGAAGTGGCTGCCTTCACTAACAAATGTAAAAGTAGGTGAACTTATGATCATACCTAAATCAAACCTAACCCTAGGGATTCAGCTCAACTAAACAGTTGGATTTGTGCACTAAAGTAAGATTTCCTTTATGAAATCTGGAGGAATGATGTTGAAAGACATAAATCATGGTTTAAGCCATAATCTTTTTGAATGCCATCAAGAAAATGAAAAAGATGGTAATGGATTATACTGGCTTTTTGGCAAAGGAATAATACCATCTTTCTTTCCTTCGTTTAAAGCAACCTTGGAAGCTTTGACCTTTCCCTTTGATGTCTATTAGACACTTTTGGAAATCATTATTGCACTGTCCATTAGAGCAAAAAAAAGAAGAAAAAAAACCAAAAACAAAAAGGAAAAAAATGTCTATGTTGTTGATTATTTTTAACTAATTCTTAATATAAAAAGAGAATGTGGATTTTTTTCAAATGGAATGCATGTGAAAAATTTAAATATCATTAACAAATCATATGCTTGAATTTTTGTTTCTTATAAATTGACTTAAAAAAATTAATATAAAAATAAGAGAAAAGTGTTTATTGGCAAACCTCTAAAAAAATTAGAAGAAAAAAATGTCAAACCTATATTATTTTAATAACTTTCTATTAAAAAAACAAATAATTTAATTCCAAAGTAGGAATAAAATTGTTTTCATTTTTTATAGTATTTTATCAAAATGATCTCATATTTTTTCTTCTTAATTTTTGAGATCTAACTAATAAATATTATTTTCTAAAAATAATTTAATTTAAGTAAAAATGTGAAAATCTCCTAGTACAAGGAAAACAACTCAATAATTTATATTTTTCTCCTAAGCAAACTTCTCTAACCACTAACCACCTTCTGTTAAAATAATCATTCTTCCAACTCCATTTTCTTTCTTTTTTTTTTGGTCTTTTTTAAATTGTTTTCAGTTTTTTAAATAGTAATCAAAAGAAATAATTACGAACTTCTGTTAAATACTTGAATAATACTCAAGTTAAGTATAATATTCATTGCATTAATTAATATCCTTTTTTAAATTCAATTTATTCTTGGGCTTTGTTTGGTTACTGTTTGGAAATGGTTCTCGAATAGAAACGTCCAGATGGGGAAATGGGTAAAAAATAAAAATGGCCTCAAAAATGGCTTGTGTTTGCTATTATGATTTTTTTTTTTAATACATTGGTGAATAAGAATGAAGGAAAACTCTTAAGTTTCTAACTCTAAGTTCTATGTTAAAGTGATGATTATTTCTTTAAAATAGTTGATTATTTTTCAAATTGTATTTTTAAAAAATTAATTACTTTTTAGTACAATCAATTTTTTTTTAACTGTTATACAAATCATTTATAAAATAGTTAACTACTACTAATTTATCAAAATAGTTGTTTTTTTATTTTACTAACATTTTGTATTTAAAAGTTACATTAATTTTTATTGATTTGAACTCGAGTTGCATTAGACCCTATAAAAAAAAAAAAACTCTTTTAACATTTATTTCTCTATCATAAAATTTAAAGTCAAAAGTTTATTTAAAATGAATCAAATTTTTTACACTTGAATCAACAAGTCTTTAATACCGAAATAGTTGATATTATTAGTAATTTATAATAAAATTTTTTTTGTTTTATATAGTTAAAAGAAATTAAAAAAACTGAACCGTTCTAACAATTAAAATGTTATAATTTTTTTTATAAAATTACTTGAATAATTGACTAAACAAAAAAAATCAAATACAATATAAATGCTATTTTTTTTTTTAAAAGAATTGAATTTGAACCGTTGCTACGTGGGCGAGGAAATGGACATATAAATGCTATTTCTTTTTTTTTTTTTGATCGATATTATAAGGGGCGGGTTTGAACCCTGTCCAAGGAAAGAGGGGAGTGCATCTTTAATGTGATCGGAGACCACTTGACCCGAAGGGCCAGATGGTATAAATGCTATTTTTTTTTTAAAAGAACTGAATTTGAACCGTTGCTCTGTGTGCGAGGAAATGGACGTATAAATGTTATTTTTTTTTTTTTAACATATTTGCAAGGGGCGGGTTTCGAACCCAGCTCGGGATGGGGAAAATGTACCGGGGTGACTATTGCCACTAGGCCACAAGTGCCGGGTGCGTATAAATGCTATTTCTTGGTCAGAGTCATCGAGAAAATGTAATCAACTACTATGGGTTGTTGCCTTTCAAAGTTAGTAATTTTCATGGAGGTAAGTCCATAAATCGTTTTTGTTCTTTCGACGAAAACGACTTCCACGTTGGAACAATTCCTCCACCAACTGCGATCGTCAAACACCGCCAACTAGTTCTGACTTGTCAATCTTGCAATAAAGGTGCATTTTGTTATTATTGTTTTTTTAATTTAAGGATATAGAGTTTTAGGTTTTTAGATCAATGTTATTATTTTT